TGCGTGCCCAAGATCCTGAGAGGAGAATGGAGGAGAAGGGATTGCAGCTGGCCATCCCCCATGGGGGGTGATTTCTCACTTTCTGTCTCTCTCTCTCTCTCTCTTTCTGGCAAGTGCTTGGACCCTATAGCAAAAACCTCTCCAAAATAAAAAAGATAAAAATAGAACGTGGTTCTAATCCCGGACTCTGAGGCTTCAAAATCACTCTGGGCATGTGGGCTTGCGTGCCCAAAATCCAAGGAGAATGGAGGGGAAGGGATGGCTATGTGGCTGTCGCCCTGGGGGTGATTTCTCACTTTCCTTCTCACTGTCTCTGGCGAGTGAGCGCACATACCCTATGGGGGGAAATCTAGATCTGAGTAGTTCCCATGCTGCAGGAGAAGCAGGAAGCGGAAGTGAAATTTCCTCACTCTTACCTTTTCTCGTCCCACCCCAGTCTAAAACAGCAGCTGCTCCTGGACGTCCATCACCTGGTCCAGATTTTCTCTAGTAAATGTAGCAGAGCACTCTGAGCTAGACACAGATCACTACAATACATAGCTAGTGTTTTCCAGATGTAGGCTGAGACCTCTGACTGAGGCTTGGCATCCGCTTTAGAAGGTGGCAGTCAGCAATTTTAAAAGAAGAAAGCAAGAAAAATATCAGAGTGGGTCTCATGTAGTGCCGGTGGCCGGTGAGCGCTATTTTGCAAAATGCTGGCATTCAGTTGTATCTCAGCATGTTGTAGTGGGGGGCAAAATAGAGTGTGTTTCTTTTTCCTTTTTTATGTTTTCTTCTTCTTCTTCTTCTTCTTCTTCTTCTTCTTCTTCTTCTTCGAGAGAGAGAGAGAGAGAGAGAAAGAGAACCCCCAGCAGGGTCTCAATGCTGCACTCCACCTCCGGCTTCAGCCAGACCCAGACTATGGGCACACATGGGGAGGCCTTGACTGCGAACCAGGAACCTCTCTATGTGAGTCAGTCTCACAGAGCATTGCATTTACTGCTGTGCCTCCCTGGGCTCTAAATGCCTTTCTTTTCTTCTTTTTTTTTCTTTTGCCATAGGGCACATGCACTTGCTGGGGAGAGAGACAGAGAGGAAAAGTGAGAAATCACCCCCCGGGGGGATGGACATATTGCAATCCCATCTCCTCTGTTCTCCCAGGATTTTGTGCACACATGCACTCATGCCCGGCATGAGTTTCAAGCACCCGGGTCCAGGACTCAAATTGCCATCAGTCACGTGGGAGTCCAGCACCTTAACCGCTATGCCACCTGTTGGCCCCTAAACTGTATCTCTTACTGTGGATTGGGGCCTCAAAAGTTTGAGAAACATTAAAACAGAGAGTAATTTATTCAATGTCTAAGAACATTTTAAGCTTCCTTCAGAGAACCTTTAAAGTGTGATTTGTCTTACCCAAAAGGCCATTTACACATCAATTTTCAGGAAACTGTATTGGGTATGAGAAACCCAAAGCTACCAGGAGGAGCAAGAACACAAAAGACATTGCTCATTGCCGCTGCAGGCCATGACTGTGAGAGTCTGCCACTCAGAAATAGCATGTAGGTTCAGAGCCACCACAAACGTGTGAGCAGGGGCCGGAAATCAAACCTCTTAGTGCAGATGTCAGTGAGGTTAGGTGCCAGATGCTTTCGTTTTTCTGCTAATGGTTACTGTCAAAAACAAGGACAACAAAACAGAATCAATCCAGCACTTGGATGGGTTGCTTCTAGAGGAGAAATCACATGTCAAAACGTTCACATGGTCTGCGGAAGTCAAGGAGAGGGAGGTTTCGCTCCTCACCCCCAACCTCTTCATAGAGGTGACTGTAAACACAGTGTTGCTAGGGTCCTGGGTGATAGTGACACAGGTTATATACCTTACACTTACACACACACACAGAGGGGACTCCACAGCCATATCACACAGGGATGACTGGGGTTCCAGTCCCAGCCCTGGCGGCTGACATGACAAGCATGTATATAGTTGCCTAGGATCCTGACAGGATGGAGGATTGGAGAAAAAGGATTGACCAGAACCCACTGGGATGTGCTTTTTCTCCCTCTCTTATGCATGCATGCAACCTCTGGCATGTCATAAAGGAAGAAAAAGGTAGAAAAAAGTGGAATTAAAATACAAGTTTAGAGGGCCAGCCAGTGGCATGGGTAAGGTGGCTGGATTCCATGGTCAACTGTGCAGTTTGAGTCCAGGACCCCGTAGCTTGAAAAACATGCTGGGATCTTGTGTGCCCAAAATCCCCAAAGGAGGGAGAATTGGAGGAGGCGACATTGTGGTGTGACCATTTTCCATGGGGGTGATTCCTTACTTTCTCTCTTTCATCTGGCAAATGCATGCACCCTCTAGCTAAAAGAACAAAACACAACAATGAGTTTATTTTGGTTCAAAATATTTTGAAATCCATATGTAGTTTTTTTCATAGTGTGCACTTTCCATGAACTTTTTGGAGTATGTACATGTACTTACATGATATTTCTATACAGTTCATATAAATTTTTTTACTGTTTTTTCTTTTCTAGTTGTTGCTTTTGCTATAGGGTGCATGTGCTCACCAGAGAGAGAGACAGAGAGCAAGAGAAGGAAAGTGAGAAATCATCCCCCAGGTGGATGGCCATGCTGGAGTCCTTCTCCATTCTCCTCTTGGGATTTTGGGCATGCATGCACATGTGCCTGGTGGTTTTTTTTTTTTTTAATATTTTTTTAATATATATATTTCAAAATAATTATTTTATTTAACTTTTTATTTATTTAAACTTGACCAGAGAGGGACAGAGTGAGAGAGAGAGAGGGAAAGTGAGATAACAAGCTGCCAGGTCCAAGACTCAAACCATGTGGGCATCCAGCGCTCCTCACCATACCACCTGCCAGCCCCAGTGCCTGGCATGCTTTTGCAAGCTGCTGGGTCCGAGACTCAGCCCTGTGGGGTCCAGCCACCTTAACTACCATGCCACCAGTCGGCCCTATTCTAACTATTTTTAAGTGTACAATTCGATGGCATTCGATATATTCGCGTTTTCCTGCCACCAACACCACCATCCAGCTCAGAACATTCTCCACCATTCCTAACTGACACGCCGTACCGTGAACAGTAGCTCCACTTGTCCTCTCCAGCCCTTGGTAACCACCATCCTACTTTCCATCTCAGAATTTAACGACTCTAAGAATCTTATATAAATGAAATTATACCATTTTGTCCTTTTGTGTCTGGCTTATTAGCTCAGTGTAATGTTTTCAAGGTTTACCCATCCCGTGTCATGTATCAAAACTTCATTCCTAGGACCAGCAGTTAGCGTAATGGCTATGTTGCTGGACTCCCACGTAGTCGACTGCGGTTTGAGTCCCGGACCCGGTGGCTTAAACTCATGCTGGGCGCGTGTGCGTGCATGCCCAAGATCCTGAGAGGAGAATGGAGGAGAAGGGATTGTGGTGTGGCTATCTCCCCTGGGGGGTGATTTCTCGCTTTCTCTCTGTCTCTCTCTGTCTTTCTGGCGAGTGCACACGCCCTATAGCAAAAACCTCTCCAAAAAAACCCAACTTCATTCCTTTTCAAGCTAACTAAAATTCCATCATGTATTATTTATTTATTTATTTACTTTTTTTAAGAATTATTTTTTATTTAACTTTATTTATTTATTTAATTTGAATTTGATCAGCAAGGGATAGAGCAAGAGAGAGGAAGGGAAAATGAGAAAGCAAGCCACTACGTCCAGGACTTGAACTGCAAGTCAGCCCTGTGGTAATCCAGGACCCTTAACTACCATACCACCTGCTGGCCCCCCCACAATGTATTTTTAAAAATAAGAGTGATATGTTTGGCAGATTTATTTTTGCTCACTCCAACATGACATTTCTCAGCCATACCCTTGGATGGCTGGAGACAAAACTACCATGGTGTTTTTTGTTTGTTTGTTTGTTTGTTTGTTTTTTTTTTTTGAGAGGTTTTTGTAATAGGGTGCATGCACTCACCAAAAAGACAGAGAGAGATAGAGAGACAGAAAGCAAGAAATCACCCCCCAGGGGGTTGGCCATGCCACAATTCCTTCTCTTCCATTCTCCTCTTGGGATCTTGGGCACTCATGCACACATGCCCGGCCTGAGTTGAAGCCACTGGGTCCAGGTCTCAAACCTGGTCAACTACATGGGAGTCCGGCGACATAGCCATTACAACAACAACTGCCCTCCTTGGGAGGAGCTTTTTATGTTGATTCTATTTGGGGTCCTTTTTATTTTTTGGATCTGAATTTCTCCATTTTTTTCTATATTTGGAAAATTTTCAGATAGTATATTTCATGAAAAAGGTTTTCCATGCCTTTAGCAGGTTCTTCACCTTCTGGAATACCCATTATAATATTTGGATGTTTCACGGTGTCTAGAATTTCCCATATGTTACTCTCCCTTTTTTTTGGTTGTTTTTCCTTTCTTTTTTTTTTAAAAAAAATAATTATTTAATTTTATTTATTCATTCATGTATTTTAATTTGACCAGAGAGAGACACACAGAGAGAGAGGAAAAGAAGGAAGTAAGCCACCAGGTCTAGGACTCGAACTGTGGTCAGCCATGTGGAAGTCCAGTGTCTTAACCACCATGCCACCTGCTGGTCCCTCTTTTTGGTTATTTGGGGTGGGAATCTAATCCCGTGGTCAGTAATGTGGTCTCTGGCTTTCTAACCACCAGGTCACAGGACACCCCAGAACTAGTTTTTGAGAATATGTATGTAATGGTTATAAGCAAGAACTTCAAAAATGTAGTGGAAAATGAAATTAAATATAGGAGTTTTAGTGCAAATATTTTGAAATGCACCCATAGTTTTTTTTTTTAATAAAATAGGCATTTTCATGAACTTTTCAAAGAGTACCTGCAGTATCAGCTGGGCTGTGTAGGGGATAAGACTCCTTTTTGTCCCTGCACCTCACTGATTGCCTGTGACATACTCCTGTCATGGTTCAAAGTTTATTCAATAATAAAATGGTTGGGGCCAGCAGGTTGCGTGGTGGTTAAGGAGCTAAACTCCCACATGGCCAGTTGTGGTGGGCACGTGTGAGTGCAGTGCAAAGGCCCAGGAGGAGAATGGAGGAGAAGGGATTGCAGTGTGGCTATATACCGCCCCCCCCCTCCCCTGGGGTGGTGTAGGATGGGGGGGGTGGGATGGTAGGGGGGTGGGAGATTTTCCACTTTCTCTCTCATTGCCTCTCTCTGTCTCTCTCTGGGAATTAGCAAAAACCTTTAAAAAAAATACTGTTTTCTTTGCCTACTACCTTTGTGAGAGGATTGCTGGGACAGGAGGAGAGTTAAAAAAGTAAAAAAGAAAAAAGAAATTTCTCCATCAGTTGAAGGCGTTCAGGAGGGCAGAGGGCCCTACTTCAGAGACAAGAGTGGTAAGTTCTTCATTGGTGCTTGAGGCTGACAGGGTCCGACCATGCATTGCGGTAATTGGTGGGTGGGGTGGAGTGAGAACTGGGAATGACTCCAGCAGACTAATGGCCCCGCCAGCGCGGACACCTGCATTTAGTCTAAACAGAATTCTAAGGCTTATGCGGATCAGGTGCACACTCGGCAGCATTACTTTCGATAAACACAAAGAATGGAATAATAATTAAAAAAAAAAATCTCCACACTACTTCTTCCCAATTCACATCTTCTCTCTCCCGCACAGCCTTTCCAGCTGACATTCCCGGCCGCTGCCCGCCTGCTGCCAGGTGAGCAGAGGCAGCCGGCCGGCCGCCCAGCCGCGGGCGGGCGTTCTGCAGCCTGCAGGTGCGGCCGTTCGCCGGACTACAACTCCCAGAATGCCCCGGGCGGGCGGGTCGCGTGAGCGCCCGGAAACCCTGGCCGCGGCGTCTGGGGTGAGGTGGCGGCGGAGGCGGCGGCCAGCGGAGGGGATCCCGCGGAGCGTGCGGAGCAGCGACTGGGAGTGCGGTGATTACGCTAGTTTCAGGTGCGCGAAGTGCGGCGTGTGCGGCCTGAGCCCGACTGGGGCCTGGGGGCTCGGGGAGGACGAGGGCCAGCCCGAGGGGGTCCGGGCAGCGGAGGAGATGAAGGTGGTGGAAGATGGTGGGTGTGGCGCGGCGGCCAGGGCCGGCTTGGCCGGAGCACGGGCAGGGCGGTGGGGCAGACCCAGCGGCCCGGCCCGAGCCTAGGCAGCCGAGCCCAGGCAGCCGGGGTTTCTGTGCCCCGCGCCCGCCCTGCCGGCCAGGTGGCGCCTGGATGGGAGGGGGGGGTGACTTAGCTAGAACGCGACTTTCCGTCTGGACCAGGTGAAGCGGTGCTTTTCAGGTAGGGGTGGGGTAGCTTCTTGGAAAGGATGTCCCGGAGTCAAAAGGGAAAAGAGTCTTTTTCTCGTTTTTTTGGTAATTGCCATGATCTCAGTCAAGGAGTGAGGTCCAATTACTTATTCGTCATTTCCTCGCTGTTCTTATTTGCCGAGTGTGGTCTGTTTATTCTTAGTTTTGACAGGGGATAATTGCAATATGTCCACAAGGCTTTTGGTGTTTCCTGAAATACCAGATTGTAGGCAATCTCCCCGTGACTTTTACTGCAGTTACGGTACAGTTGTTCCCAGGGCAAGCAAAATCTGACTCCGTTGCTGTCGCCTTTGTCCCTTGCTTTAGTTCTACTCTTACACAAATTTATATATATATAAATGAAACCATATATAGAAACCACTTGTATATAGTTGATTTAGAAGGGAAAGGCTTTAATGCCTTGGGGTTTGAATTGTTTCTTTCCTATTTGTATGTTTTTAGTTTTTGCTATAGGACACTTGTGCTGGCAGGAGAGAGACAGAGGTGGGGGTGAGAAATCACCTGGGGTGGGGGAAGAGGATGGCCACATCACACTCCTGTCTCATTCTCCTCTGAGGATTTTGGGCACGTGTGCGCATGCTCCTGGTGTGTTTTTCAAGCTGCTGAGTCTGGGACTGGAACAGTGCATTTGGCCTTGTTGGATCCAGCCTTCTTAATCAACATGCCACTGGCTGGCTCTGAGGGAAAGATTTTCATCTTGGAACCTAGTTGTCTTTGGAACATGTTCAAAAATAGGGAGAATGTGGTTTTGGGAGCCCTAAATTAAGTTGAGAGAATTTTACTGATAAATACTGGGTATTTTACATTTGTGGTAAAGAGACGGTTTAAGAAGAGGAAAAAAAATTAGTTGAAGACTTGAGTTTTGAATAAAAGAGATTTATGTGTTACAGGTCAGTGACTTCAAATGAAGTTATGTGGGATAAGCAAGATGCTGAGCCCGTGTTGCACACTGGGAGCTGAATTACAGCATACGCAGCATACTCTAATGAGCATTTATGCTCATCTATACTTTCCTACCCACCTCTTCATGCTTTGAGGACGAATTGTATTTTTTACTTTATAAACATAAAAACTGAAGTCTGGGGGAGGGTTGAAGTAGTTGCCTGTCTAATGCCCTTCTTGTTTGAGTGTGTAAGAGAAGCACTCTTACCAGTAAGGAGGGGTTTTCCCCATCCTGGATGAAAACCTCTTAGTTTAAGGTGGGATAGTTGAAATTACTGTGTTTTACCCAGCTTGGAATATTTTCTTTTTAAAAATAAGTATTTAATTTATTTATTCTAATTTGACCAGAGAAGGGGAGAGAGAGAGAGAGAGAGAGAGAGAGAAAACAAGCTGCCAGGTCTGGGACTCGAACTGTGGTCAGCTATGTGGGTCAGCGCCCTTAACTACCACATCACCTACTGGCCCCAAAAGTCATGCACATTGAGAGAGAGACAGAGAGAGATGGACTCGATGAGGCAGTTCTGCAGCTTCCATTGTTTTTTGCCATAGGGTGGGTGCCACCATGCCCCCAGCTTGGAGTATTTTCTAGTTTAAACTTTGTTTTTACATGATATAACACAGAATCTCGAAATAAGTCAGGGTTTGAATGCTCACTCTTAAGAGAGATTACTTTTTTATTTTTACAAAATCATTTAACTATTTATTTTAATTTGACTAGGGAGGGACAGAGTGTGTATGTGTGAGAGAAAGCGAGAGAAAGTAAGCAAGTCACCAGATCTTGGACTTAAACTGTGATCAGCCATGTGGGAGTCCATTCTCCTTAACTACCACATCATCTGCCAGCCCCACGTTTTTTCTTTTCTTTTTTTTTTAGAGAGATTTTTTGCTATAAGGCACATGTACTCACCAGAGAGACAGAAAGCAAGAAATCTTACTTGCTTTCTGTAAGGGGGAATGGCCATACCACAATCCCTTCTCCACTCTCTTCTTGGGATCTTGGGCATGCACACACACATGTGCCAACGTGAATTTCAAGCCTTCAGGTCTGGAACTCAAACTGTGGTTGACTATATGGGAGTTAAGCGACATAACTGTTATGCTATCTGCTGGTCCACTGTTTTTGTCTTAATGTGAGAGGGCAAGTGTGTGTTGTGGGGAGAGGGGAATCCTCCTCCCAACAAGGTGTGGTCACATTGCCATCCTTCTTTCCCCCTTTCTCTAGTCCATCAGGATCCTAGGTGTGGGTACACATGCCCGGTGTGTTGCCCAGAGGCCAGGATTAGAATTGTGTGGAGAGCAGCCAATCTGAGCAAACATAGTGACCTTTAGACACACGTAGAAGCATGGTTTTGTGAGCTTTATTTGTTTAGTAATGAAAGCATTTATATATGAATACACAGTTTGTTGTTGAAACTGCAGAGTAGTATAGGGCTAAAGGAAGCCATGCGTATTTACCAGATTTTGTCCCAAAAAGATCAGAAAAATTATATGGCCTAGTCGTTTTTGTATCTTCAGATGATTTATATCTAAAAAACAACTTACTTTGTATTTTTTTCTATTTTTTTGTCTTATAAAATAATAAACCTGAGAGCAACCATGAGCTTCATTTGTATAGCAATGAAAACATTTGCATATGAATATGCTAACTGCCTGTCGTTGAAACTGCAGAGCTGTATTGGGCTAAAGGAAACCACATGCATGCGTTTATCAGATTTTGCCTGGAAAAGATCAGAGAAACTATATGGCTGGGCCAGTCCTTTTCCCATCTTCAGACGATTAACATTGAAAGACAAGTAGTTTTGCATTCCATTTCCTCTTCTCCCATTTTCTGACCTATAAAATAATAAACCTGAGACTAGTTTGGAGTTGTGGCTTTTTATCAGAGAAGTAGAATCCACCTGATCTTCATTTTGCTATACTGGATGTCTTTGTGTTTTTATTTTTATGTTTATTTCTAATCCACAGCCCCCTTACTCAAAAAAACGCATTCTGCTGAGTGAGTCCCGGCATAACTGTGCTAGGTCGTGTGGGATCTGGCCATCTGCATAGTGCTTATCCACTATGGGACTGGCCCAAGAGGAGTTCCTTGGGAATATCTGTTTTCTTATTTATGAAATGCCAAGAGAACTAAATGTAGTAATGTGTGGCAGGTCCCGTACATGGTGTCTGGCACCTTGTAAGCATTCATGTCCAACCATCAGTGAGTGTGTTCACTTGGAAAAATCTTTGTTGATCTTCTCAGTGCTCTGCTAGGTTCTGGTGATATTCCTGTGGACTTCAGATACAGAAGGAGCCTGCTTCCGTGGAGCTTGTCGGTGAACAGCAAACATGGGAACAGTTAAGCCAGATCATAACAATGGGGGGAATGCTATGAAGGGATGAAGACAGAAATGAGGGAGGTAGTAACTGAGGGAGACCATTTCAGATAGGGTGGTCAGGACAGGCCACCATAGGAGATGACCACTGAGTGGTGAGCCAAGAAATGGAAGGAGCAAGCCACTTACGTAGAACCCAGAGAAACACACTGCAGGCAGTGGAGTAGCCCCCACAAAAACCTGGAGTGAGAGTCGCTTGGTGGGTTGAGGGACAGGAAGGAACTTGGTGTGGAGGAATTGTAGTGTGTAGAGAAGAGGTAGTAGGGAGGTTGGGAAGATAGGTGGTTGGAGGAAAGAAGAGGCGTACTTGCATCTCACCATGTGGCCTGGCCAAGGACTGGAACCAGCCCAGTAGGAGACTGACTGGGCCTGGGAAAGGCTTGTGCATGTAAGTGGGGACTGTGCATGTGTTCAGAAAGATGTGGCAGCTGGGTATGTGCTGGTGTGGACGGACTGCAACCTCATAAAGATGCAGAATAATGTGTGTGCCATGTGGTCACTTGAGTGTAAGGGGCCTCGAATGTGTGTGGAGATACAGGCTTCATGAGGATGTCAGAGAAACCAGTAGGAGAACAGGGTGTCTGGAGAACAAAGTGGCTGTCTACCCTTTTGTGCTTTTTGAATTGTCTGCTTTATGCATATATTACCATTAATAAAGTGATTACAACAGACCTGGTCCAATGCAGTCATCTCCTGAACAGTCCCCCCTACATCAGTGGCCTCTGACCCCAATTGCTTCCTACCCCTTAACTGTCCTCTTCCTGTAGTGAGCAGGGCTAGAGAGGGCTGGAAAGCCCTCTGGCAAAGAGTCTTTGAGAGTATTCCTTTTCTTTGGTTTGCCACGGGGCACATGCACTCACTGGAGGGAAACAGAGAGAGAGAGAGAAGGAAAGTGAGAAATCACCCCCCATGGGGGATGGCTATTCTGCAGTCTTGTCTCCTCCGTTCTCCTCTCAGGATTGTGGTATGCACGCACATACGCACAGGTGCCTGGTACGAGTTTCAAGCTACCAAGTCTGGGACTCAAACTGTGCAGCCAGTCATGTGGGTTCCAACTGCTTTAACCTCCATACCACCTACTGGCCCAAGTCTGTGTTTTTTTTTTAAAGATTTATTTATTTATTTAATTTTGTCATTATTATTTTAATTTGGTGAGAGAGAGAGAGAGAGGGAAAGGGAAAGGGGAAAGTGAGAAAGTAAGCCCTCAGATCTGGGACTTGGACTGTGGTCGGCCATGTGGCACTCCAGTGCCTTCACCACCACGCCACCTGCCGGCCCCTACCCTGGTTTACATTTTAAAATGCATTTGTGGCTGG